CGTCCCCTTGGCGGGGTCGCAGCTGCCTCTGGAAGGCACCGAGAGGGACAAAATGGCGCAAATGGTCAAATCAAGGTTTTGTAACGCGAGCTGTGCCACAGTGAAATGGCACTAGCCTGTGCGCTGTGTGGCACTGCACGCAGGCAAGTGCCGTCGTGCGTCGTACCGATGCGAGACGGAGGTCGCGGACTGGAGCCGTATGCATTTGCACGCCTGCGTAGGCCGGTCGGACCCGATTTTATTAAATTTTCAAGTTTAAGCGCAGACCTCAAGACTTGAACGCAAGCATGTTCAGGCCATCTAGAGTGCCGAACAACATCGCACCGGTTCGGTTCGCGCATCACGGCCGCGCAAACTGGCTGCACTGCGGCGCGAGGCTCAGCGGGGCGTCCGGACCACTGACTCGGGCGATGTGGTGGTCGAGCGCAGCCTTCTTGAGCTGGAGAGCCGCCGCAGTATGCGCGGTGGATGGGACGTCGGCCAAACCGCGACGCGCAAGCTGCAGGGAGGAGCTACAGCGGCTCCTCTCCTCATGCTGGTTCGCCAAACCGAGACGTTGAGGTCCTCGTACACTCATGTCGCGCCTCGAGTAAGAGCCATCACGCTGCCCAGCGCTGGACCGTCGTAAGGTCCGGCCTTAGGCCAGCTCGCAGCACTGTATGAACTCACGCTGGCGAGCACCATCCCAGGATGAGGCCTTCAAGAGCGCGCGCCAGGGACGTCCGTATGGCAAAATCGGCGTGAATTCGCTATGAAAACGCTTCCAACCCATCAAGAGCGGGCTCAGAAGAGACGATACTAACCCAGGATCACCAGGGCACCTTAGGGTATCGAAATTTTCCACCCCCCCACCCCCTCCCGCTCCCCCGGCCCGCGCCTCTCCCCCTAACTAACACACGCACCACCGCTGACACCCTCACCAGGCCTCTCCCCCCGCCTCGCCGCTCTCGCGGTGCAAGCCGACTCCTGGCGACCGTCCTGGTCAGCGGCCCTTGCCAGGACGGTCCGAGCGCCGCGCTCGCTCCGGTGAGCGAGCACTACAGTAGCACACCGCACCTGCACCGCCTGTAGTGGCACCGGCACCAGCCTCCCCAGGCCCGCCTCTCCAACGTCTCACTCGCCACCCTGCTCGCTGCCGCCCCGCCCGTCGCCACTGCCACTAATCTGCCGCTCCGCAGCCCGCTCCACCTTCCCGCCCGCAGCGCCTCCCGTGCCGACGCAGCCTAGAGACAACAGAGCTGGGTCAATATCACCGCGGGAACGCCTCCTCTCGACGTGGGACAGAGCCTCCTCCACAACGTCGAGAGAGCGACGGCCAGCGTGGCGCGGCGCAACGTCGCGCGGCAGTGGCCGCAGTGGCTCGAGGCGGGCAGCGCCGGCGACAACGAACGCGGAGCGCGCGGCGACAGCGGTGGCGAGAGCCGAGGGACGTGACTACACCCTCGAGCGCCGTGCGCGCGCAACCTCGTCAGCCAACCACGCGCCGCACCAGCGCCGCGAGCGACGCCTCGAGGCACAACGTGCAGCCGCCGCATCCCCCGCCGCCGCCGCCGCCGCCGCCGCCGCCGCCGCTGCCTCGCTCCACGGCGGCGGCGGCGCCGCCGCCGCAGACTGTAAGCACCAACAGCCGGCGGCTCGGCACGCGGCGGCCGCCTCCGGCCTGGGGGCGCGTCGGCAGCGCGGCGCGCCACCTCGCTGCTCGACACGCGCCGGACCTGTCATGCGCGGCTGCGCCACCGCTTCCTCGTGCGGCGCCGTCGCCGCCGCCACGCCGGCCGCCTGCTGTGAGCGCCGCGCTGCTCGGCCGCACCCGCCCGTGCCGGCCGCAGCTGCTCTGCCGTCAGCGCCGTCGCCGTCACGGGCCAAGCCGCCGTTGTCGCCGCAGCCACGCCCGTCGGCCTCGCTGCCGCCGGTCCAGCATGGCTGACATCGCCACTACCACGGCACCGGGCAGGGTGAGGCGCTAGAGGGTGAAGGGTGCATAGAGGCGAGGTGAGGCGGCACCTAGGGGCAGTGACCCCCGTGAGCCGGCAAGCCGACGCGCCACTACCGGGCAAGATGGAGGCCGAGCTGCGACCCTCACAGCTCTCGCGGCATGCGTCCAGAGCTCGATTCATCTGCCTCGCCGCTCGCTCGCCGCCTTTGTGGGACCTAAAGAGAGAGGTTCTGAGCCGTCGGGCGGCGCTGATGGTGGCCCGCGTGGGTGGAGCCCGCGGCAGCTAGGCCGCCTGGGCGCGGGGGGGGTGGTCCGGTGCTTCAGAGGCAGCGTGAGCGACGGGGGGGGCGAAGGATGTGAGGCGGCTCGCCTGCAGCGCCCACCTGCTGGGCCGTCTGGATCTGCGATTACGCCTCGGGAAATGCGAGATCATCCAGAAAATGTCTGCAGACCTCAAACCGATGGCCTCAAAAAGTCGTTGTCAGCCACCGATTTTCCGTGTCGCCCGACCCGCCACCTCACCGGCCCGGCGTTCGGAGGCGTAAAATCTTGGTCGGCCGTTGGGCCGGTGCCATCGGCCGCGGTCGAGTCGACCGTGCCCCGTCTTGGGCACGATGGACATGTGACCGGCTCCGGTCAAGATGTGCCCCGGCATGGCGGATGAGGCTCTCAGGTTGGGCGACGCGAGCGCCGAGAAGGTGGAGCAAGACCTCGCGTCCCACATGGGCTTGCTCGGTTGGCAGGGTTGGATTTGGGTTCTTTGTGATGCGCCAACTTCAACTTCCGGAACGACTCAACAGGGCCCAAAGACGGGGGAGCGACCGGCCTACGCCTGGGAGTCGGCTGCGCGGGAACCCGTCGGACAGGTGCTCAGCTCGGCCCTCACTCTAGATACCCGCGTCCCCCGTCCCGGCTCCCGAAACGCTACGTAATCGGCAGGAAAGAAAGGTGTACAATTCTCGTAGTCTCGACGTGGCGGTGAGAACAAGCCGCGCAGAAAGTGACACTGGCCACACGGTAGCGTACTTTACTGCTCCAACCCCATAGGGAACAAGTCGTCATAGATAAGGTCACACGACTCGTAGATCAGATCGACCCCAAACCGTACCGGCTCCCTGTCCTCTGTGCCGTCGAGCCGGAAGGAGCGGACCTCGCCGCTCTCTATTGACTGAAGATCGGGGCTGAACACCATCTCGTACTTCCAATAAGCACTGTGCCCACTTAAAGGGTTGATTCCCCAGAAAATGGTGCCGCGGAACGTGCGGCTCGCGGCGTCGTACACGGGCGACACGAAGTACTTCCGCGCCTGTATGAACGCGCTCGCGGTGAGAAACTGCAACACACACGTCTTCTCGAGTGTATTCGTACTTGGAATGTTTATTCAGCATCTAGGTGTGCGGGCCGGTGGCGCGCC